TTTATGGACTGCTTGGACCATGAAGTAGGGGCAGGGCTAACAAGATATTTGCTTCATACTTGACTCTTGCCAAATGTGTCAACTTGTTATTTCAAAATGTTGAGAAAAGGAAAATACTTATATACATACATACGTACATATATCCAAAACATGCTAAGCACATGCTCATCAGGCTTAAATATGCAAGTGCCGGGCAAATATTCCCAGCATTCCACCCCCAATCGCCGAAAAGCACTTGGAGGAGCAATCTGCAATGAAAGCGCCCACATTGGACGTGTGCCAGCGGAAAATGCATTTCCATTTGCAACTTTCGGCGAGCTGTCAGGCCATCGCATCCTTTTGGGCGACCCTAGTCCTCAGAGTTCGACGTTCGGATGTTTGGCTGCTGTTCGATGGGGTCTTGGGCCAGGGTTCGATTCGCTTGGCAATGCCACTTGCACAAAATGTGCATTCGAGTGCGACTTTTGACTGACTGACAGCTGGGTATGTAGGCAGCGATCCTCTGCAAAAAAATGTACTCTGGACAGATGTGGGTGCAGAACAATTTGTCTTTAACATTGCATGGAAGAACATGTTGTGGGCTTCAAATATCTGTGAATCTTCAATTAAAACAAATCTTTTGTTTACTGTCTTGTTTCCTTAGTCAATTGGTCTCATTCTAGTTCAATCATTTAAATAGCAACTCAACGTTGAAAAACAGATCAAACAAAAACTGCAAATATCTGAATTTTGAAATTAATAAGCATTGCCATAGACTAATCTTATAACCGCATTTCAATAAAGTCTATATAGGATACCATCAACTATTTTGTCTTTTATTATATATTTAAATAATATATATAAATATAATATATATGAATTTAAAAATTATTTAAGGGCAAATTAATTATAATTAATGTTTATAATTATTAATAATAAATAATTGAACATATAATAATTTTTATATCTATTAAAATTATATCGGTAACTTATTCATTCATAAATTTTTCCATTTCCATAAATTTTTTTTTAAACAATTTAATTAAAAAGTGTCTGTTTTATCTGTTACTTATACCTACATACCTACTTATACCTGTACATCAGTCACTACCAAACTAGTACTGGGTATAACAACTACCTACATATGCTATGCTGTTTAAGCGTTGGAACTCCTCGTATGATAATAGTTCAATAGATCTCTTTTTCAACCTCAAAGTGTACTGCTAGACTTGTGAAAACCTTTTTGGTAGTTTCCATGGTAGATTTTTGCCAATGAGGATGATTTGCATGTTTATCAGTGACAGATACGCCTTTCTCCCCCAAACCTCTGCCTCACCGTCCTTCAGTGTCCATCAATCTGTCGGTCCTCCTGTCCAATTGACTGGCACTTCTTCCTTTTTACTGTCAATGTCGCTGCGATTGTTCAATAGGACGCATCAATTTTCGAATAGCTTGGCCCGCATTAACTACCAGAAACGTGTCAGGACTCAGGTCCCAGGACAGGAGTTCTGAAGAGCTCACAAATTGCTGACATTTCAACACTGGCATCAACACTGCCGGAATTCAGGAAAAAGTTGCCAGAACAGGACCAATTTGCAGAAAGTTTGGGCATATTAATTTTTATTTTTGATTTCTTGGAGGGATAAACAAATGAATAAAATAAGAACTCATCACTGATTGCCTTCGAATGAAGTAAGCTTTTAAGTATACAAATTAATAAGAAAATGAATGAAAAGCGTAATACGATTCCCACTCCACTGCTGCGTCTCCGTTCAATCAGTCCAGTGGCAGCGGCGCTCATTACTTTCCAGCGAATATTTTCTGCTTCATCAATCTGCTGCTCATTTGGCAAGCAGCCCCCGATTTCACACATGCATTATCCAGCTCCCCGGCACACCGCCTCCGAGCCAGTCCCAGCCCTTCGGCGCAGCGCTTACTCCTCAGGCACATCCTCGTGTTATTGTCAGTGGCAAACAAAAAGCAAGAAGAATGGCATCGAGCGAGGAAATTTCCCACATGGCACATGGAACCAACAAGGGCCAGAAGCAGAGATCGGCAACCGGAGAGGACACCCAAGAATCCGCACTCCACGAAGTGCGCGGAGCATCGCACCAACACGTAAACAAATTTGCAACCTGCCTGTGTGTTGATGTATGGTTCCTCCACTGCTCCTTAAAAATGCATTAAACCCGCAAAATGTGAAGGAATTTAAAAAGAACGAGAGTCCCGAAAGTTGTTTAATTTTTGGCGCACTCCGGCCGAAACATTTCCGTGACGCTAATCCAATTTCTAGCCCAAAACTGTTTCGAAAGTCGTCGACTTTGTAATAAAAGCGCAAAATTGCATGGGTGCGGTGAGCGGGGGGTTGCTGATGGTTGGACGCAGTGCGTGAGTGCTCTGAATGGGCTGCCCAGCCTGTCCGTGTGCGGATAAGGACCTCCCTCCTGCACCAAACCAATTTCCCATTCACAGAACTGAACTGAACTCGAATCGAATCGACTCGACTTGGATTGCATTTTATTGAGCTCCGGTCGACCTTCATCTGGTGGGCCTTGTCTAGTCTAGTTTGGCCCGCAGTTCCTGTATCCTGTAATGGGAGAAACGGCAAAAACAGTACTGGAGCACAGGTGGCCGGAGGGAAATGGAAAACTGGCACACAGACCTAAGCCAGTTGTCAACTGGCCGGCCAACGGAATTCAAGCCAACATCGCAGGGCAACCACCCCGCCTGCGAACCTGGCATTCCTTTGATGGCCCAGTACTGTTTACTTGGGCGTTTCACAAAATATTTTCATAATTTCCAATCAATTGCCCTCGGTTTAATTACGCGTCAAATATTCAAAGTTCTCGGAGCTCAAAGAGCTCGTCCCGAAATCAAAGCAAAGCCATTTTCCAATTGTTTGTTATAAATTTCGTAATTTTCCTTCGGGTCGACTTTGCTAAGCAGAGTGTGTTCGGGTGTGTGGGCCTGGTACGCCACATTAATCATGCAAATGAAATGAAACAGGAGGGGCTGGTCGATGGGTCTCGGGCGGGGGGCGTGGCCCGTACACCCATCAATGCCAATTATCAGAAATTCCCCAAGTTGCATGTGGCCGTGTTTATATTTTATTAGTATCTCTTTCGTTCGTTTCGTGAGGCAGAGTTGATCAGCATCAAAGGCGTTTCGGCCATGTATTTTTAGCCGGCCAAGTGGCTAATGTTGGCTATAAATAAAGCTGCGTGGGTGGCGGAGGACAAGGATGCGTGTATCTTGCAGATATGCCGAAACTCTTGCATATTTAATGAGCATGACAAGGCCCGAAATTGGAAAAAAAAGAACCACGGGGCTGAAGGCGAGGCCCCGACGATCGGATACTCTCTCCTGCTACAACCATAACTCATAATTGAATTATTTTAAACGAAGTTGCCACGCAAGGTAGGCCTTGGCCTTGCAGTATACCCACCCATATCCTACCGAAGCACGCAGAAGCTAATGACAAGTTTGGCAAAAGGGAAAGTATACCCGCCTTCAGACACAAGCATGTGTTTGTGCGAATTTGAATGTATGTATGTGGAAAAGCCGTCCAGTCAAGGTCGCTTCCTTTGCGGGCGACTGCATAACAAGTTCAAAACTTTTCCCCACACCCGCGGCAGCCGGAAGGAGCGAACCAGGCGCCGAGGAGCCAGGCCCAAACTATCCTAAGCTGTTCATTCCCCCGCAATGGGGCACCCAGGAACACAAACACAGTCCCTGGCCAGCTCTTCGGGCCCTGTAATCAGGAGATTTGTAATAAGCTTATCACCCGGCGGCCAGGCCGGCCCAAAAGCAAAATGCCAAAATCTTCGCCCTCGAGTTATTCCTTTATCAGAACTAGGCCATGACGTCCTCTAAAGTCGAATCATCGATAATAAAATTTAAAGCGCCAAGAAAACTTTTAAATCAATTTAAAGTCTCACCAATCCGAAGACAGACTTGGTAAACTCGTTTTGAAATTATCAGAATGAAAGATTTTTGTACACTTTTTGAAACAAGTAATAAGCCTTATAACTAGCTTTCTTCTTTTGGGTCCTAGTTGGATAGAAACTGGCTGTGTGCTAGTACGAATGGGTTAAAGGATCCCTTTGAGCACCCTTGAACTGAAATCGCGTTCAAGTCTGGTTGGCAAACCAACTAAAAATCGCTTAAAACTTTTTCCCCAATCTATTTGTAGGAGAAAAAAATCGCAAAAATACTCCTTTCGCTCCCCGGCTAAAAGCTTTACATTTGCAGACAGAAATCAAGGTGGGATTCAGGGGCATTAGCAATCCGCCAGTACCACCCAGTGCCCATCGCATCCTCCTCCCATCCTTCACAGGCGCTACCCGGGTGGCCAAAAAACGCAAAACAATTTTTGGCTGAATGAAAATGTTTGCTTCAAAGTTGTTCCTGGCTTCCCTCCATTTTGCGCGCTCTGCTGGGGAGCTCAGTTTATGAGCAGGTTATTTTGATTAATGTTCTTTCAACTGACATTGGGCATAGGCGGGTGGGGAAAGGACACGGGAGGCAGGGCCAATAGAGCAGAGTTCGCAAGAGCTTACTGAGTATAAGCAGCAGTGTCAAGTGAAAACTGGAAAAGCACGGCAACAATTACTTTATGATTATCGAAAGGCGATAGGGATGGTAAAGGGGTATTCAGATTAGACCCTGGAATACTCTGTTTGGAAGAAAAACTTACTCCAAGCATCTAGAATTTTCTAGTAGTTGGAATTTTTAATTTCCTGGAAACATCTTATCCTAAAGATAAGCAATGCGACATGATTTGTCAAATAAATTATGAATTACCTCCAAGTCCTTGTAGCTTTCGATTTTTACGCTTCCTGGGCAGATTTATTGATCATCACCTCTTTTAAAATTCCACTTTAAATAGATTTGAAAAATAAATTAAATATACATACAATATTTTCATTTATTTATGGTTGCCTTTAAAACTTGTAACAAAAGAAACACTTTTAACAAAATTTTAAACTTTACACCACTTTTCATTTCATTTGATTCCGCAGTCATCCAACATCAGAAGTCACAATCCAACTCCGGAAATCGAGTCGGATACACCGCATATGTGAGGGCAACCGCAGCCCGAAGGACGAAGGCGGTTGCGGTTGTGGAGGCGGAAGCGAAAAAGAAGGCGGACCATGCCCTCTGCAGATCAGATCCTGTTCATAAATGTCACCACTACGGTGGCAGCGGCGGCTCTTACCGCGGCGGCGTCCGTAGGCACTGCGAAATCCGGCGGAAGTAATGAAGCTGGGTCTGGCCTCGAGCGGCCGGAGGGCACGACTCCGGCGTCTGCCAACGTGTCCGGGTCACTGGTCGAGGGTCTGACAACTGTGGCGGCGGGTCTAGGCACCGGCCAGCCGGAGGCAGACTCGGGGGAGTGCGGAGGCGGCGTGGAGGAGCTGCACGCCAGCATACTGGGAATTCAGTTGGCGGTGCCCGAGTGGGAGGCACTACTGACCGCCCTGGTCCTGTCGGTCATCATCGTCCTGACCATTATTGGAAACATTCTAGTGATCCTGAGCGTGTTCACCTACAAGCCCCTACGCATCGTCCAGAACTTTTTCATCGTTTCGCTGGCGGTGGCCGACCTCACGGTGGCCCTGCTGGTGCTGCCCTTCAACGTGGCCTACTCGATCCTAGGCCGCTGGGAGTTCGGAATTCACCTGTGCAAGCTGTGGCTCACCTGTGACGTGCTCTGCTGTACGAGCTCCATTCTTAACCTGTGTGCCATCGCACTGGACCGCTACTGGGCCATCACGGACCCGATCAACTACGCCCAGAAGCGGACGGTGGGCCGGGTCCTGCTTCTCATCTCCGGCGTGTGGCTGCTGTCGCTCCTGATCAGCAGTCCGCCACTGATAGGCTGGAACGACTGGCCCGACGAGTTTACCAGCGCCACACCCTGCGAGCTGACATCGCAGCGCGGCTATGTCATCTACTCGTCGTTGGGGTCATTTTTTATTCCGCTGGCGATCATGACCCTGGTCTACATCGAAATATTCGTGGCAACACGTCGACGTCTGCGAGAGCGAGCCAGGGCGAACAAGCTCAACACCATTGCCCTCAAGTCCACGGAACTGGAGCCCATTACCAACTCCTCGCCGGCAGGGGCCTCTGCTTCCGCTGCGGGGTCTAAGTCCCGCCTACTAACCAGCTGGCTGTGCTGCGGGAGGGATCGGGCCCCCTTCGCCGCGCCCATGATCCAAAACGACCAAGAGAGCATCAGCAGTGAGACTCACCCGCCGGTGCAGGAGGCCTCCAGGACCGGACCCGGCTCGCACATCTCCAGCGACCAGCAACAGCACGTGGTCGTGCTCGTCAAAAAGTCGCGCCGCTCCAAGATCAAGGACTCGATAAAGCACGGCAAGGCCAGAGGCGTCCGTAAATCGCAGTCCTCGTCCACCTGTGAGCCCCATGGGGAGCAGCAGCTGCTGCCAGCTGGCGGAGGCGGGCAGTCCGCCGGCGGGAAGTCGGACGCAGAAATCAGCACGGAGAGCGGCAGCGATCCCAAAGGATGCATTCAGGTGGGTCTCTCGTGGGTATCCTTAAGACTTTTCAACTAATAATGGAATATTACAGGTCTGCGTAACACAGACGGACGAGCAGACCTCGCTGAAGCTGACCCCGCCCCAATCCTCGACAGGAGCTGCCGTCGCATCCGCCACGCCCCTGCAGAAGAAGGCCAGTGGCGTGAACCAGTTCATCGAGGAGAAGCAGAAGATCTCGCTGTCCAAGGAGCGGCGGGCCGCACGCACCCTTGGCATCATTATGGGCGTGTTCGTCATCTGCTGGCTGCCCTTCTTCCTCATGTATGTCATCCTGCCGTTCTGCCAGAGCTGCTGCCCCACGAACAAGTTCAAGAACTTCATCACCTGGCTGGGCTACATTAACTCCGGCCTGAACCCGGTCATCTACACAATATTCAACCTCGACTACCGACGGGCCTTCAAGCGCCTGCTGGGCCTGAACTGAGAACGACTGGGGGTGTGGGGGGGAGCCGGAGGAGATGGGCGCTGGCGCCGGGACGGAAGGACTGAGAGGGAGAGCATTACTCAAAGCTAGTGCCAAACTTAAGGAGGTGACCACGTGAACGTAACCGATCAGTAGAGATCTCAGCCGAAATGGATGGTTTTCATGAAGAATGGGTATCTGCAATATTGTTTTCATATACATAGTTTTATAAGTTTTCTTCAGCCCTAAAGGTGAAATAATTTAAAAGATCCCCATTATTTGTTCTTGACTGTTTTTAGTTTAATATTTAAAAAACACTATTAAAGCTAGGTTTATTTTTAATTTCCTAATTGCCTATTTATTTTTTCATTGCCTAATTATTTTCCATCAACAATCAATAAATTCAAATTATAAATACTCATGAAAAATCTGGTTGTGGTGGTTCACTTGAAAACATTAAAACAGATGCGAGCCCAGTTGAGAGAACAAAATTACTCACAAAAAAAGTTCATAGCCATATATACATATTAAACATAATATACTTATGTTAAACGCAAATTAAGCAACACCCGAACGAGAAATGCATCAAATTGAATTTAATAATATTAAATTAAATATTTAGGCACAAATATTGTGGCAAAACTTACGTGTTTCACTCTATGCGTATAAAAATGCAAAATGTAGTTAAACCAAATCTGCGCTCAAAATATTTTAAGGAAATAAGCGAAATACAAATACTTCCAAAAATAAAATATGTTTTCTAGACATTACTTTAAAAATTTGTATTTAATCGTAATTTAATTGTAGGTAAATGAAAAACTAAAGAACTAAACCTAATGTATACTTTTAATACGCTTTAAACTATTTGTTAAATAATTTATCGTTAATTGTTTTTATGACAGAGAAACGAATGTGTTGAGTGGGCAGCTAAAAGCTTGCGCATCAAATCTTCTAAGATAGGACAAGTTTAATTGCACTTTGCAGAATGCAAACGAGTTAGCAATTCAGAGAACTATAAATCGATGTATAAACCAAAATAAAGTACATGCTATATCGTATACACCCCATTTATGAATTTTAACGATGTACGATACTTTCAATAATTAACGTGTTTAACGGGCATGTGCAAGCTGAGCGTTAAAGAAACAAATAAAAGACAGATTCGAATAAAAGTTACGAAGAAATATGGTCCGTAGTTTTCGTCTTGAGATTCTTTGGAATATATATCTCTTTTGGCACCCACAAAAATTTAACTTTTAACTTCTATTTAAAATAGATTATTTACTTCGGGATATTCATTTGGATGATATTTGAGGGAATTGAATTAACAATCATTGATTAATTGAATTTATTTTCAAAAAATAACTTTTTTTATTTAGTAATACAAAATTGCATAGAATCTTTACTACACTTTTTTGTCTGATTATACATCGTCCAACATTTGGATCCCATTTATGATCATATGATTTTCTTATTCCTTAAAAATAGACCTGTTTTTGAATTGGACTTTGGGTAAAACTGCTGTTGATAAAAAAAAATATTTTACCAACACGCAAAATTTATTTTTATAAATTTTTTCATAAAAAAGTTTTAACTTAAAGTGCTAGCCGACAGTTTTCGAACTGTCGAACATTTTATATTCTTAAAATGATTTTTTGTACACTAAAAAAAGAGTATTAAAAAATTATAATAAATTTAAGCAAGAGTTTTTTTGTTTTCAAATATACATATACATATACAAGCCATGTCTGGCTTTTTTCTCCCTCAGCCATGTGGTTAGGTCGGCTTGTCCGACGGGGCGTATGAGCGATAATGATTGAACATCGATCGGCACCGAGCACGCGGCACGCGATCGTATCGAAATCCATAGACTTGAGTTGAGTTAAGTCGATTTGGGCCAGATTCTGCGCATCATTGTTCCCATTCATGAGTCGGTCAGGGTCAATATTTTGGTTTTAACTGGACAAACAGATCGAATAGCCAGAAAGAGAGCTTACTTACCTTTTGCACTGAAATAAATAAATAACCAAATTATCTCATTAACATTACAGAGCATTTCTAACCAACGTAATTGGTCTTATTAATTACCAACTAGTAATATTTCAATTTAATGTTTCTATATTTTGAGTATCTTTAAATTGGATGATTTTTTTCTGGTATGCTGGAGAGCGTGAGCCCCAGTCTTAAGTGGATTTACACGCTTCATTCGAGCACTTGTTGACTTTGGCTAATTAAATGTTTGCAAATTATTGAAAATTTTCATTTTAAAACTCTTATATAAAAACAAGTAAGGACGTCGATGATGGAGTTTTTCCTGGGTATGATACCGGGCATTTCTTAGTAACACATAGTAGTCAACCTTTTCAGATTCCGGCCGCTTTTCACAATAAATATTGGATGCTACAATAAACAACAAGTTTCAAAAAAATAATCTAATGTAAAATTTTGATTAAAAGATTATATAAATTCTTTAAAAATAGTGATATTGGAAATAAATTTAAAAAAAAATTGTTGATCAAAGAAAGAAAAAAATCCAAATCCTTTTGAATTTGGAAACATTTTATTCCTTTTTTTTTTCTTTAAATTATCAAGGGTTTATTGTTCTAGAAAATTTTTTCGTATTTTGTGATAGAAAATAAATAAAACTTTGAATTGAATTAAATACAACTGAAGCATAATTATGATAAATACAAGAAAGGAAAGTTAACTTCGGGCGGAGCCGAAATTAATATTGCAGGTTATACCGGATATAAATCGTAAACATTGGATATGGTTGGCCGATCCTTATAAGAATATATAACCAATTTAGTACAATAAAAAATTTGAAAAAAAGTCTTAAGCTTCTATAGTCAAAAATATAAAAATTGGTATTTTCACCAAATACCTTTTCCCATCGTTCAATTATTTGGCAGCTATAGGATTTAGTCGCTCGACCCTTTTCAAGGGTTTTATAATACCCTTTTCAAAACCACAGCGCGCTGAACTGCGTGATAAATAGCCACGTAGTTTGAACATAGGGAAAGGTTCTTACAATCATTTTCCCATTTTTCTCTTAAACCTTGAACTGTCGAGGGTTCGACGCCGATTAGTTCGAATTGCCGCGTGGTTTTGTTTAATAGCTGATTTGTTGCTTCGAATTACCGAGAGTATAAAAATGTATTGAAAAAGTTCGAAATATCAAGAGATATTGTAGAGAGAATTAAATTAGGCTTAGTTTAGCTTAGTTTAGTTTTAGTATAGTGGATTAGGCCTCTCGGGGATACCACTTAAAAAAAAACGCGCCTTATACTCTACCTCGAAGGTGGTGGGGGAAAAGAGTATTTTTACTATTGCAAATAAAATGTACATTTGAGAATATTATTTTTGTTAAGTATTATTAATTTTTTGTATTTCAGCTATTTATTGAGTATTTATGGGGTGTTTCGTTTAGTGTACTTAGGTTTTGTTTTGTATTGGTTTTAGTTGTTTTAAATTGTCTATTCGTTGTTGTGTTTCGCAGTGTTTTGGAGTATTTGATGAGTTTTTGATTTTATTGTATATATTACGAAAAAGGCGCCTTTTCGAGATTGGGGTTTTATTGTAAAAGCGCCATCTATGTGTCAAGCAAGAATCGTGTGATTATTTTATTTCAATTTTATTTCAAGTAGCACAGTACCACACAAATTATTTGGAAGTTTTATATATATTTGTTTGTTTATTATTTTATAAATAATATTAATAATATTAATATTCCACGTTTTTTTTATTTGCGATACTTTTCGTTAAATTTTTCCTAGCGATATTAAATATGCGGAATCGAGAAATAGCTAAGTTGGCAGCACCCGATGTTTCTCCACCCCTGTCGAGCTTGTTTTTGTTGGATTTTTAAATTTTCAAATTATTTTCCCGGAAAATTCGCGATCCACGCAGAGGCAAAGGACGCGATTTAAACTACCTGCGGTCGCAGATTCCCGCGAACCTGGTCGCGAGCAGGCAGAAAAACTCAAGTAATGCCTTCGCCGTGCATGAATATAAGGAAACGACGCTCGATCCAGACACGCCAGAGCAAATGGACACCTCGGTAAATACGCGCGCGGACGACCAGGCAAACAGCTCCCTCCGCCTACATTGCTCGCTCTCCTCCGTTGAGATGGAGAATGAAATGGAGATGGAGGCGGAGAGCGACCTCTCGCTGGCCTTCGAACGAGACGAAGACGCTGGGCAGTCTGGCGGCAGCTGGGACGAACTACCTGCTTTCGAGATCCGCGCCTTCTGTCCACACGGGCGGACGCCCTCTCCCATAGACGACCTCAACCTATCGGATATCGAAACCCCCAAGCAACAGCTGCATCATCAGTCTTCGGAGGAGTTGCGCTACAATAATCCGGAATTTGTGGCCCTGCACGACATAAACGCCCAGATCAGCCCGCCCAGCGACGCGGACACCTCCAAGAGCAGCAACAACCTTGAAACCATCTTCGAAGGCGTTTTCCTGCACACCCCGCCGAGGGAGAAGGCAAACGCCGCTGGAAGCCCCAGTTCAACGCGTTTTACACCTAAGCGCAGCCGGGCCAATCTTATGGAGCTGGTGGCCATCGGCAACCGGCTGAATGGCGGGAAGGAAAACCAATCGCCATGCGCTCACTTATCAAAGTCGCCGGCGCAGTCTCCGACCAAGGACCCCACCTAAACAGTCAACCCCAACCAAAGCCACGGAGCCCTCGCTCAGACTGCCATCGATTTTCTAGACTAAGTAACGATTCTCCTGTACACATGCATGTGTATTCTTAGATGTTTGCCCAACCGTGCTACAGCCTAATGTAGTTGTGAAATAAAGATTGTCTTTCCATGTTTCAAACATTAACAAAACCTTGACAAATGTTTCTGAATCTGTCTAAAGATCAGGTAGACATGCAGTCGGGAGGTATGGGATAATCCTCTGTACCTGGGAATTATCGCTAATCATAATAAAACCCCGCCAGACGGGAATATCAGCAATAAGCCAGGGACTTTGGTTGTAGTCTTCCCAAGGGTAAAGTACGAGATACTAGCCGGGTACCAGACCAGATTGGATTTATTATGTTCGTGGCCTTGGAACGCAAGTGGACTACCAGTGTTGTCCTCCAGAATAGAAGATACAAGTAATAGAATCATTGAATAAAAAAATAAAAACGTTTATTTCTAAAACTAAGCTTTAATGATTATTTAAAGATTACTATTAGCTTAAGTCTATATGGTGGTGATTCGGGTAAAACTGAGTACAAAAATACATATGTAATCTAGATGTACCTATAGATATCCCTTTGGAAGATACTCGAGTTTCAAGCAACTCTTTCAGCACCACTTTAACATTTGTACGACGAATTCTCGTTTGACGCGAATCCTAATTTGGAAGCTGGAAAAAAACTTAAAATGAGTACAAAATCCTTAAATTACAAAGACAGATTGGGCTGAAAATCCGAAAAAGCGGGAATGTTGTTCGAAGCATCAAGAACACATACGCAAGTAAGTAAGGCAGCCGGTAGGATAGGAGAGCAAGGATCAGTCCACTACGAGGTTTGTAAGCTTTGGTACAAAATCGAATTAGGATTTCGGCTGGAGGTAGCACAATTGCTTCTCTGTTCATCGTCCCTACTCCTATGCGACTCCCATAACGCCCCATCAGAAGTTCTTGGAGTGGCGCGACGCCGAGAACACTTTGACGCGCAGCAGTCCTGGGTTGACCTCCTGCCACCTATTGAATTTAAATATGTTTAGAAATGAAAAATGTTGAGATTAGTGGAGTACTGCACTCACCGCAATCGACGCTCGCCGAGCCTAGCCTTCACTCGGTTCTTAATGGTGGAGACGCCGTTGGCGCTGTGCAAGCCGCGGCCAGTGATGATGAAGACGTGCTTGTAGACCCTCGTACAGTTGCGCAGGACGGTAATGTGCCTATCAATGAAAAGATCCAAGCAGCTAACCGCCTCTACGGTATGTAGGTAGTGCAAGTCCAGCAGATCCGGATTGTTTTGCGTGTGGCGGTGCACTTCCATAATGCAGTTGGCCGCCCGTTGGTTGAACACGTCGATCTTCTGCTTGTGCAGTTTGGCTATTTCCGAATAGTAGAGGGCTACGCTTCCGTTGCCGCGCTGCACCGCTTGCTTGGCTTTAAGGTAGCATTCTGCCTTTAGCTGCGAGTGGTGGGCGGCTAAGTTGCGAGTCTCCTCGAAATCCCGCAGAGCGGCACACTTGGCCTCCTCGTGGAGCAGAGGTGACCGGTTTGAGGATGAATTGGAACTGGAGGGTTGTGCCTGACCGAAGGAGTTCTGAAGTTTCTGCTGCTCTTCCTGATGCTTCTGCTCCTCAATCGCCACCTGGGCACTCAGCTGTAGGTTGGGCCAAAGAAAGAAATATGTTAAGGTTGCGTTTTAAAAACAATTCGTATGCCTTCCTCACCTTTTCACCCTCACGGACAGCCTGCTCGTAGAGCTCGGCCTCACTGAGAGAGCTTTGAGCGTTGCTGTCCAGAACTTCGATTGTCCGGCCATAGTTGCTTCCCGTGGCCGCGAAGATCTCTAAAACGGTATCGCTCGGTATGTCGGGGAACTTCTCGCAAAGCTTCATCTTCGTCAGGTGGGTGGCAATATCGTTGGGAGCCTGCTGGCGAGCTGCCAGTTCAGCCGTCTGCTTTGCGGCCAGCTGTTCACTGTTGTAGATGCTCCAGGCTAGCTCCATGTCCAGTAGCTCCCCGACATTGCTGGGCGACTCACTACACTCGGCGTAGCCGGGATGCTTCAGCAAGCGGGCGAACTGCTCGTCGTCCCGCAGTGTGCGCTGCCGCTGCTCCTCCAGTTGGTTGTAGACCGCCTCCCGCCATAGCATGTACAGTTGGTTGGCCAGCTGGAGAGGCACAAAAACTTTGGTGGCAGTAGGAACATCCTGCTCCGACGGCAGCATTTCGTCTTCCGTATGGAACTGGGCGCGCAGCTGCTGGATGAGACTCGGATCCAATTCCATTTCCATCAAGGTATTGTCCTCACATTCATCCTCTTCCGGTTCCGTCTCCTCCGGCACCTCTGGCTCAGACAAAATGGGCTGATCAAGGATTCCGTTGCGAATGTCGCGAATCTTGCGCGTGTGTTCCGAATACTGGTCGTCGCCTGAAAGTAAAAAAAACAAACAAGGAACGGATTTCAGCTTTAATATAATAGCTTTAGTAGTAGATAGGCGTAGCTTTAATCGTTACCTAAAACAAAACAGTTTTGGATCTGAATCTGCAACTCCTTGTTGTTGGTCGAGGCGTTCCGCTTGCTGCGCGACTGTCGCTGTGGCTTCGGGACCAGCTTGGTGGTTAATGGCGAAAGTGGGGCCTGCTCGGGGGCTTGTGCAGCTGGAAGTGAAGGCCCTCGGCAGTCGCACTGAAACTGGGCAAGCTCCTCTGGACTTAGAGGCGCTTCCATGCCAAACGGATCTGATGCCGTCTGGGCGTTTAGTTCGTCTTCCTTGAGAAGGATATCCACGGCCCAGTCCACGTCCGCCTTGCACTTTACGAAAAGGTCCCAAAGACCACTTAGCTGCTTATTGGGATACATTTGGCGCAGCAGGGCGAAGCCAGCTGGCTCATTTGGACAATTAAGGCCATGGCGCTGAAACGGTTTTGATTCGCTTTCCTCCGCCCCTGGGGACGTCTCCCCTGACGCGCTCTCGTCCCGAAGCAGTTCGATCAACGATTTGTCGCAAGAAGCTACAGAAGGAGTGGCCGGAGCTGCTGCCTCCAAAGTATTGGAACCAGTCTGGGACCAGTAGGAAGGCGCCCCCTGCTCATAGGGCACCCAGCTCGAAGCATTGGCGTTCAGCTTGATGTTTTTGGAATCGTCTCGCGGAGGTGACGCCTCTGGTTCCGGTGCACCGCCTTCATTCAAAGCACAAACAACGGGAACGGATGGTAGCGGCGGGCATTGTCGGAGTTGTGGCAGTGTCACTGTATACTTGGTGTCCTTTAGCATCTGTGAGTTTTAAAGATGGAGATTAACGTTAATGGACATGTTTTACACACACAGAAATCATAATGTCATGAGTATATTCCTTTTTGAGTATAGCCTTTAAAAGCTCACCTGTACAAGATCTTCCGCTTTAGCACGCTCGAAACGCTCCAGCATCCGCTGTATGCTCTCACGGGGCACTTGGTGGCTGTTCTTTTGGGCCAGCTTGCTGGCAGATTTGCACCAGCTGGTCTGTGGCTCAAGCAGCTCTAGAAGGTATCCATTTTGCACAGCAATCTGTACGTAGGGCATCATCTCCCAGATCATCGTATTGGTATTGTCCACGATGATGGGACTCCAGCCTCGAACGGCCTTCTCGCGCACCCTTTCCTTGTTCCAGTCGTGGGCGGCTGGCAGGAGAGTGGGATTAAATTCGTATCCACGGCGGTTTTTAAAATAGTCGTCCGTGCTGAGAACAAAGTCCGTGACAGCGTAGCGATCGAGGAGGCGACTTTGACGGAGTAAACTCTCGGCCAGAGTGGATTTCCCACTGCCAGACGGTCCCCGCATTATGATCATGACTTTTTGACCCGACTGGACGCGCTGGCAGATCGAGATTAGTTGTTTGTTGTTGTTAGTGTTGGAGTGATTGGCTGTCTTTCCTGCACTTCCGGGAGGGCACATTTTGAAGGAATTGGATGAGCCAGGGGCCATATATTTTCTCGGTGTAAGGTTGTTGTTCTTGGTCGCACTGCTGCTTCGGCTGCGTCCGTTTTTGTTGTTGCTGCTACCGTTGTTGTTATCGTTTATATTTGCTGTGGCCAGCAAAACGGTCAGGCTTGGTGGGTCTGTGGAGTTGCGTGCCGTCGACATCGCGCTGGAGTCCGTGGTGCTGCTGCTCTCTATGAGGTAGATCGACGCTCTGACACCCGACTCTTGAGAGTTAGTTGCTGCTTGACCACAACGTAATGCGCAGTAATGGGAAGATTTGGACTTCCCTCTGCCTTATCCGCTCTTATCGCACTCGCCTCTGCCAGCCAGAAACCCACTCGATCATTAAATCCTCTGTGGGGAAGATTTGCTGACTGTTGCCTTCCTGCCACACGTGCACTAAGCTCAGCAAGGCTCTCTCCACTTCCACTATATGGTTTTGTTTATTTCCAGGGCGCGCAGAGGAGCGAACATCTAAATCCGCGAATTTGGTGCTGGTGCTGTGCATCACATCTAGCCGCAGTGTTGCCAGTTTAGAAAAATTCAAGCTAAAATTTAGTTGTATGTTTGACCACGACTCTAAATAACTACTTAATGTCTGTTGTTGTTAATTTCAATATATTTATAGAGCCATAAAACATAGATAACTGTTTTTGTGAGTCTCTGCTTTATCTTTTTTTCCGGACATATTGCCAGCCGAAAATTCAATTTATATTTTCAGTGGTTATACCAGGGATGCACAGTTGATGAAGAAAACTTATACACATTTTAAATATATATTTTCCAAACTTCTTTATTTTGGGTTTTTTATAATCAAAATTTATTTGTTATTCCCATGATTATGTTTTAATTATGATTTCCAAAATTGAAATAATCGAATAAGAAACAATCGATACGTTCGATAAATTATTAACAAATTTTTAAGTGGCAACGCTTTTAATGAATAAGGCGTCGAAACAAACGAATCAAAACATTGTACCCAAATGTATAGTTTGAGGTAATATACAAAGATTACGTTCCAGATCGGACCAGTAGCTTCCGCCAATATTTATGCCTTCCAAATATTTGAAACCTGCACCGAGAATCCTGTAGGAAGCAACGCATTCTACTCCTCGTTGAATATTGGGGCCCTTTAAGTATAGCCTATTAAGCCAATAATATAGGCAATTTAATTAACCAGCCAAGCTCCGGCCCTTGATCAAGCTGCTGAGTATATTCCAGCCTGGGTGCACTTTCCATTGGCTATTTAATGTTACAGTTTAGTAGCATACACATCACCAGTCTTAGTGGCTTTTCTCATCTTCCTTCGGCCGAAGGACTATTATTTTCAGGGATCCGACTACGACCTTGCGACCCTATGCGTCCCCTTCCAGGCTTCTTAAGTGGATCTGAGCTCCCGGGGCGATAGTTTACGGCTGATGCGTCGGACTTCTTCCTGACGTTGAACTGCATCTCAATCGGGCGAATTTCCTTTACAGATTGTTTTAGATTGAAACACCAAACTTCTGTCGCAAAAGAAACAAGACCTCTCGAAAAATGTATTGTATTTAGTATTATTTATTTTATATTAGATATAACATTTTTGGTAAAAAAAACATATATTTTCTCCTTTTTTTAGATTGTTAGGAACCGCCTACATATTTCCAGATCTTATTAATTCCTGATTTTGATGCCTGGGCAGTATAGTTCACTGCTTTATAAGAGACACTACCAGCTGATTTTATTCCATCGTAAGAGACACTACCAACATGTTTCATCACACTTACCATAGCCTCAGTTTTAGAAGGTGGCGGTGGCAGTGGCGGTGGGCTTCAGAACCCTTTTGCCAATTGGTATGTTCCATACAAAACCAGCATGCATCCACCAACGTAAAATGTCACCTTCAGCGGTGAGGGTGATTGGAAGTTAGACCCTTTGGTATTTTCACTGTTTAAGCCCGGGACCTGTTGCGACTGTGTTCCGACCTTGGTGGCTCCTATTACCGTGTCTTTGGAAGCCATAGTCGTTGTCCCTTTAATGGCGTCGCTTGGAGCTGGATCTGTACTAGAATGTGTTTTTAGTCCCCTAGTTTTTGGAAACAGATTCCTAATCTTCGAAACTCCTTTTAACGAAGCGTTGGACGCCGTAGTCATTGCCCCGTTAATGACGTTCGGAGCAGACTCTATATAGGGCCGTGTCTTCAAAACAGTCCATCTCAAGGCATTGTTGGTTCCTTCAACCATATTATTTTTGAAAGCAATGGTAAAGGGCTTTACATTATTAGCAAAGCTAGGGATTCTGCTCCACTGGCTGAATATATAACCCGTCAATTTTTCAGATTTCGCTGAAGAGGCTGCCGCGGTCTGGGTGGTTGGTGGTGGAAGATGTATTATGTTAGTTACCGATGAACCTTCAGTCTTCGGCACTACTTTGGCAGCCGATGAAAGCATGCTATCCGCCACAGTCGCTAACGGTTGGGTAACCGAATTGGCAGCAGCAGACTGGTTAGGCAGTCCGGGGCTTATGGTTTTTGTCATTCCAGATGCAACGGATGAAATCCTGTTTCGCGCCCCTGAAGATAACGCGTTCGCGATTGTATTGGCCGCTGAAGAAGTGGTTGAATTGGAAATAGATGGCGCAAGTCCTTGTGCCAGTTTCCCGTTCCTCATCAATATTCTTTTGGATCTCAGAGCGGCCAGCCATGAAATCAGCGTCCAGAGCGAGGAAGGGTGCGGTGCATTTAGCTCCTCCGCAACGGTGACTGCAATTGGCTCTACCGGCGTCTCCACTGGAACGGCGGGCAATGGCAGTGGTAAAGGTGGCGGAGCCGATTGTCGCACCAGCTTGTAGGTAACGTAGGCCACTACCACACATGCGCCTCCTACAAAGCATGCCAGCTTTAGCTTTTCCGCATTGGACGGTATAGATAAGGACGGTATGAAAAAGTAACTCTTGGGCTGAGTAAGGGTAAAATTTGCCAGCGTCCTATCGTAATCAGCTTTTTTGTCAGGATGGCTCAGGATTTCGTAGGCCGTGATAATCTTCTTAATATAATCATTCCCATCCGGATTTTTGTCGGGATGCCATATGAGGAGTAGCCGACGATATGCATCTCGAATCTGCGTGGCTGTGGCGTCACGACTTAATTCGAGAACCTCATAGTGATCTTGAAAGGCTTCACTCATTGTCTTCTATAATAAAAAGAAGTTCATCAATAAACTTTCTTTGGGAATCCCTTACATTTTATTTTCGCACATTTTTTTACCTTCGCACTTCACGTCCTAATCTTTATAAAATGTATACATACATACATATATAATTTAAAATCGATAGATCGCCGAGGTTGATGAGAGCTGCCACTTGGAGCTCATACTCCAGCCCTGGAAATTAACGGGGATTCCCAAAAACACATGTGTATTATTATACCCTTGCATACGCTTGGGTATTATAATTTTGGTCAAAAGTGTGCAACGCAGTGAAGGAGACATTTCCGACACTATATACTATATATATTCTTGATCAGGATCACCTCCTTAGTTGATATGAGCATGTCCGTCTGTCTGTTTCTACGCAAACTAGTCTCTCAGTTTTAAAGTTATCGGCTTGAAATTTTGCACATAACTTTCTTTTCTTTGAACACAGTATATAAGTCGGAAATAACTAAAATAATAATAACCAACTTGCGTGTTTTTGAAGATAGAAAGCTGAAACTTAGTACAGATTCTATTTTTGGGCTGTTAATCCGACCTACCAAATTTCATAACAATCGGCCGACTCTATCTTATAGCTGCTATACATATAACTGAACGATCGGAAATGGTTTTGGGTAGAAATACCAACATTGGTATTTTTGAAGATAGAGGCTCCGCCCGAATTCAGCTTTCCTTTCTTGTTTTTAGAGAATTTTGTTTGGGTTTATATTTAATCCAAGAGCACTTAGCATTTATCAGCAAGATCATCGCAATCTCATGTGGCCTGGTTTTGTCAAATGCGATTTCTACACCCTTTGCCAAGGGCATTAAAATTCTGGCTAAAAGTGGGCAACGCAGTGTAAATTAATTATCTAAAAGGAATGTTTTGCGTACTGAAGGTGCTGGTACTGTATTAATACACACAATTAGTATTTATTTTAAATACTGATAATACAACTTAACTTTAGCTTCGCCCGGTTTTAGCTTTTCTTTCTTTTTGATTAAAAATTACAATTTTTCGTTTCATTATTTACAATGTTTCGTAGAAACTTTTTTTATTTATTGTGTTTCGTAATGTGCTTTATATATTTATTGTTTGATTCATAATAATAGAACTGTCTTATAGAATTTAACATTTTGAAATTTATGTTTAAAAAAATTAACAATTAGTTTTTAAGAAATATATTCATAAATATCAGTTGAAATACAAAAATTACAATTTTGTCCTTTTATTATTTAACAATGTTTCTGTATTTACAATCGTAAACTGTTTATTTGTTTCGTAACGTTATTTATATTTTTGTCTAGTTTAACTTCGAACTTCTACTTTAATATTTAAAAATTAGCAACTTTTATATCTTATCTTAAATTACACTGATCATCATTAAGATTCAAAAATCGAGGTATCACATATAATTCAATGTTATAACATAAAGGCCAAATTTTAAAATTATAACATTTTGTTAGGGAAATATATATATACATTAAATATTTGTAACAAAAAATAATGTGCTAAGTCCATTCTTTAAAAAAGAAATTAATTTAAATTGTATCAAAAAGAAGTATATCCGAAATGATTCGAGAAATATTACCAAGAAAAAATAATTATTTCTAATTAATGTTTTTTACGGTAGAAGAGGTTAGTCCGACGAAGACCCATCTGTATTTGAAGCTGGTTCCTTTTTTCGTGTGAAAAATTGGAACGTTTTATACGCCGCAAAAGCAAAGAGCACGGTTCCTCCGACAGCGCACATGAAAGGCACCATGTCTGACGTGGGCTGGCCGAAGGTCGCTGCATTTTGCTCATCTCCGCACCGTAGGCCCTCCTCCCCAAATTGGTCGTAGATTTCGCGTTTTTCCTTGTCCGAGAGAACTTCAAAAGCGGCCACCACCTCCTTGAATTGCTCCTCTGCCTGCGGGTGATCGTTCTTGTCCGGATGGTAACGGAGTGCCATCCGGCGGTATCCCTTCTTTATTTCCTCGTTGGTGGCGTTCCGCTCAAGGCCCAGAATTTTGTAGTAATCTTTTCCCATTGCGACTAACGACTTTAACTTCCAAATTCTTTATTCCTTTCCAGTTATAAGGTGTTAAGATGCACTATTTACGTTTTGCAGACAAACTAAACTTATTTCATTTTGTGTTTTGTTTTTCAGTGATGGTTGTAGAGTTTGCTATCGAAAAATGTTGCCCCCTTAACAGAAAAACATGTATTATCGAAAAGTGTCATCTCCAACTTTCTGTCATGGTTCAGTACATTATCGCCTGTCTGGCATCACTGATTGCTTATTTCAGCAAACTTACCAAAACTTATCTGTAACTGAATCTAGCTACAATAAATTATCTATAAAATAATTTTATTTAAAAAATCAAATGTGACTCTTATGTGCAATTTTATTTATACCTTATTTATACCATGCTAAGAATATCGAATATTGCCACCTAAATCTATGTACGATATTTTAGGATATCGATATTTTTTTACATTTTCCGCATCACTATTTCCGGCGCCAACTTACCCTCTTTCCGTTCTGTGAGCGAAACCGAAAAGTCTTTGCTTTGGTAAGTCGACAAAATATTCGGAAATATGGGCGATCCTGGGCCCTTCCTTTATAAAAATAAAAGCAAGATGCGACAATTAACAACCGTCAATACAATTCATATTGCAGTTCTTAAATTCAGTAGACGAGTCCCTGATACAGCATCAAAATGGTTAGGGAGAACAAGGCAGCATGGAAGGCTCAGTACTTCATCAAGGTTGTGGTAAGTACCTAAATTATCCTCTTCCAATATCCGCGTTTTGGTTTAACGTGACTAATCTCTAAAACAGGAACTGTTCGACGAGTTCCCCAAGTGCTTCATTGTGGGCGCCGACAATGTGGGCTCCAAGCAGATGCAAAACATCCGTACCAGCCTGCGTGGCCTGGCCGTAGTGTTGATGGGCAAGAACACGATGATGCGCAAGGCTATCCGTGGGCATCTGGAGAACAACCCCCAGCTGGAGAAGCTGCTGCCGCACATCAAGGGCAACGTGGGCTTTGTGTTCACCAAGGGCGATCTGGCTGAGGTGCGCGATAAGCTGCTCGAGTCGAAGGTTCGCGCCCCGGCTCGTCCCGGTGCCATTGCCCCCCTCAACGTCATCATCCCGGCTCAGAACACCGGTCTGGGACCAGAGAAGACCAGTTTCTTCCAGGCTCTGTCCATCCCTACCAAGATTTCCAAGGGAACAATTGAAATCATCAACGATGTGCCCATCCTTAAGCCCGGTGACAAGGTGGGCGCTTCCGAGGCGACGCTGCTCAACATGTTGAACATCTCGCCCTTCTCGTACGGCCTGATCGTCAACCAGGTGTACGACTCTGGATCCATCTTCTCGCCCGAGATTCTGGACATCAAGCCCGAGGATCTGCGCGCCAAGTTCCAACAGGGAGTGGCCAATTTGGCTGCCGTTTGTTTGTCGGTGGGTTACCCAACCATCGCCTCGGCCCCGCACAGCATCGCCAACGGTTTCAAGAACTTGCTGGCTATTGCCGCCACCACCGACGTGGAATTCAAGGAGGCCACCACCATCAAGGAGTACATCAAGGACCCCAGCAAGTTCGCTGCCGCCGCCTCGGCCACGGCTGCCCCAGCTGCTGGAGGTGCTGCCGAGAAGAAGGAGGAGGCCAAGAAGGCCGAGTCCGAGTCCGAGGAGGAGGACGATGACATGGGCTTTGGTCTCTTCGACTAAGCTGCTTCCAGAGTTACCTGGCCCCTCAGCACGTGCGGCTCCCACAGCCGATTGCTTCTGCTTTCAACAGTTACCCATTAAGATCTTTGATTATGTGTTATCAGTGCGAATAATTGCCGCGGTTTGACGGACCCAATGGCAAGTTGCGAAAAACATTGTATAAACTGTTTGGAAGCTTACACTCTGCCTTTTTATTTCCATTTAACTGTTTTAAACCCATTTTACTATCCTTTAAGGACCCACCGGACAGCAGGTGCCGGCTGGCAGCTGCTCCTGCTTTCTTGCTTTCCGGATATTTACAAAGTAATTACTTGTGATAAAATGAATTTCACAAGATGAGAAAAGTTTAAAGTTTCTGCTGGCTTCGTCTGCGACTTTTGCGATTTCTTTTGCTTTTCGCAAAAGCGACGGCGACGGCGACTGCGACTGCGACGCTCATAAAAATTCAATTTGTCTTGACAAAATACGCAAGAAATTAAGAATGTGCCAAGTGGCGGGCAAAAGAAACTTTCTCTCCCTTTTCCATTTCCCTGCGCTTTTCTTTCTCGTTCGCCGGGCGAAAATGAGTTACGCGACCGGGGCGTGAAAGTGCCACGCCCTCGCGTCAATGTGTCGCCTACCGCAGGCTGGCCGAAAGGCAAGGACTGGGGAAGCGGCAGAGGGCTGAGCGAAGCCGAGGGCCACGTTAAACATTGCATAAATAGCCGGTATGAAATTGCTGGCTAGGCTTGGAAAAAATAAATCTCTGGCCAAACTAAGAACTTTGAGGTGGAACCGTGAGAGAATACTAGTTTTGATATAGATTGTTTTTTTTATTGGTAATTTGGTAGCTTTATTAATTTCATAGATTAAACCTGACTTTTGTAGGGGTTGAAATCTTTTAAGGAAGGTATGTTAGAGACTCAGTTCAATAAATTGTCTTTTTTCATTATTTTTTTCATTATTATGTACATGTGTATAAGTTTTAAATTTCTTCCTCCTTGATGAAGACAAAATATTTATCTCATTTATGCAGTCACGTTGTCATCCCTAGGGGATCCCATTTGGTTTGAGATAAATTAATAAAGACATTGCATAATTTCAGGCGCCACTGGCGGCAAATATACAGGGGAATTAACATAAACTGTGGGTGGGCCGGCCGGTTGCCACCACCGGACCTGTTCCGGGACGGGCGCCTGGAGCCGAGGATGTTGACCACCCCGGTAACCATCCATCGCTTGCCACTCAATCAGCAGCTAGCGACATTGGAAATCAAAATGCGATTGGCAAAATGATTTGCTTCAATTTTTGTGATGCGCATAACAAATGAAGTTTGGACATTTGGACAATTGATTGGGACAGCGTCCATGTGGCGGAAGTGGGGAGTGGTGGGCGGCCGATGGTCGAAGACCCATATAGACAATGTACGATATACCACACATCACATCACACACTCCATCGCAATGTTTGCCATGCACAACAAAATGTGGAGCAGTCGACAGATTCGGATTTGGATTCAGATTCAGAGTTCAGGACTCCACTTCAGGACTCCCATACTTCTCCATCCCATCCCATACCCCCTCCTCCTCATCCTACGGTCGGAAAACCCTCGAAACTGGACTCGATTTTGGCCATCCCATGTGCACAGATAGATTTGTATGCATATTTTTGCTTTGGCATTTCGTTTGTGTGCTAAACATGTGAATGCCATCGATATAACGACGCTTCTGTTGCCCCTGATCCCGATATGCATGTTCCCCTTGGGCGCGTGTGTGCTCAGCTGTGATTTGTATGGCCAAAAGATTTGGAGCGAACCGGTTTAATTCTTGTGGGGATGACTTTAGCTTTTCCTAGCGCAGGGTGCTTCAAGTGACACTTGAACTGGGTAAGAAAATGTGCTATCCTACATAGTAGTGCTACGGTTTCAAAAATTTCCAAGCGAAATTTTGATTGTTCGATTTTGAATTCCACTGAACTGCCCTCCAAAGAGGGCTCTGGCACAATCATTCCCCGCTGAAGGGAACAACTTTTGTTAGCATCTGCTGGCTGGAACCGTGATGATAACTGAAACAGAAATCTATTTTCCAACTGACTGACGTGCAGTACAAATACATTTTTGGGAAACTGTCAAGGGTTGCGGGTGGCAAGAAACACGAAAGGGGAAAGTAACAAAAAAAAACACACACACACAATAACGAAAATCTGAAAACATTCAGCGGATTGTTTAGAGCAGGATGCTGGGCAGGCAGCACCTGGCCACGCCCCCACCACACAACATGCTCAATTTAGTCTCGTCACATCAAAATGTTTGCTCTTCGCGCTATTTGCTGATGCTGCCATTGCTGTGGCCGGGGAGGACTGGGCGAGTGGATGCTTTGTGGGCGCTTACCGCGTATAATTTATCTATGCATATGTTTTCAGTTGCCAACAGCGGCAGCGGCAGCGGCTCGAGCTGAGGTAGCCAGAAATTGGGCCTGGCCCACATAAATCACAGTCAACAGCACGCAATGGAGGTCCAACCACCGCCCACCGGGCCACCCCCTCATGGCCCCGCCCCCAACACCCCTTTCGTGTTGCTGCCCAGAAACAGGAGCCTGTTCTCAATGGCCATGAAAATAAACGCCTGTTCTCAGAATTAGCTCCGTCAATGGGCTGGTCTGATTCGCAGCCATAAAAAATAGGCATCAAGTAGAAATCTAACAACCTATTTTCCAGGATTACCTGGATTACAATTCCTTAAAAAAGGCCTATACTTGAAAAAATTAAATTCAAATTCCGGATTAAGATTTTGATAACTACACAATGACAAACAAAGATAAGACCTAAATATATATATTTAAAGCTTAGATTTACCCTATTTCCAGGCCGACTAGAATTCTGTATTTAATGAGGTTCTAAAGCGCTTTTGAAGCAAGTGCAACACTCTCGAACGTAGCCCACAAAAACGGTGCATAAAAATCTTTTAGCTGCTCTAAAAATGGAAAAATTCACAGGGAGACATACAGGCTCACCTCCAGAACATGTCTCTTTCTGGGCCAGAGGTAACGGTGGCTCTAACGGCAACAATAAACGACAAAAGCCGTTACGACGAGCGATGATTGCAAGGCAAACGAGCAATTAAAATGTCGTGCGCCTGGGGAGTATGCCACCTCGGCCCACCCCGTCCATCCCACGCCTTCCCATCGAATAACCCACATCCCGCAGCCGCGGAGCATCCTCCGAAAAGGGGAGCACTCCAGTCCTTTGCCACGTACGATGTATAACCTTTGCCCCTCCGTGGCACATCTGTCGCTGCGCCTGTATGCGTGTGTGTGTATGTTCAGATCCTTCGGCTGTTTTTGTTCCTTGGGGGCATTTTTACGGCTCTCCGTTTTTACGCTGGAAGCGGGAATTTCGACGTCGGGTATTTGAAATATGCACGTAATATTGCAAAATTTTAAGCGTATATCTTTGCATAATTAACTGAGAAAATACTT